GTGTGTGTGTGTGGCCAGCTCAGCCCACTAGGGGGCGGGAATGGCTGGCATGTGGTGCTGGGGGATTGAACCGTGGTCCCTGTGCTTTGCTTAGCTTAGCTTGTTCTAAGTAGGTGCTTTAGACCACTAGAGCCATCTCTCCAGCCCCCCCCCCTTTGCTTTTGAGAAGAACTTCAAGGGTGCTCTTCTGTCCTTGTCCTATAAGGTCATGCACAGGTGGACATGTGGCCAGAGTGGGGCTTATCTCCAGCAAAATGCAGTTTGCCATTGGATGAGCAATTTGGGGTCTTCTGAGGACCCAGAGGTTGGGAAGCCCCTAGAGCTGAGCTGTTGGTTGCTGGCTGTCCCTTTCAAGGCAGATGGTTATCTTATCTCTAGTTTCTTTTAGCAGCTCTATCCAGGGCTTTTTCATCTCAAGATCTTTGTGTCTAACCTGGGCTGATCATTTCTTTTTCCCATGATTACACTTTCCCTTTTCCAATTATCAATAGCTTAAAGGGGTCTAAAAGAAGCTAGAGGTGCTGAGTATAACAGCCCATGCCTGTCATGTCAGCACTCGGGAGGCTGAAGCAGGAGGATTACTGTAAGGGAGGGGCCAGCTAAGCTGTATGGTGAGTTCAAAACCATTACATAGTGAGGCCTCCATCTTAGAAAGCAAAACCAAAAGCAGCAGCAGCAGCTACAGGTGTCCACTCCAGTGCGGTGTCATGTGGCTCAGGCCTGTGCACCAGGAGGCACACGGAGGAGGGTCTTCTTGCTATCAGTGGTGAGCACCTGTTAGATGCCCCGGAAACATTTTGATGAGCTCACCTGCATGATGTGCCTACAAATTGTAATCCCAGCTGCTTAGCATCCGGGCACTGTGGTCCCTGTCATACAGACCGCATGACTGTTCTCTTCCTGTTCCTCTTACCCAGGCCTCTTTGAGCAGCGAGTGGAACAGTATTTAGAGGAGCTCCCTGACACTGAGCAGAGTGGAATGAATAAGTTTCTCCGAGGCTTAGGTAAGTAGCCTTGTAGCAGGAGACAGATGTTCAGCAAAGAGGGAGTGTCTGGGGGAATCTGTGCCCGAAGGCCTCTAAATCTGTGTGAACAGATTTATGTAGGATCTAGAGACAAAGCCAGAGGAAATCCCTCAGGGAGGGAAAAGAAAGTTCCCAGTGCTCCGAGGGCCATCTAGCACAGTTTCCCAAATCACAGGCCTAAGTTACACTTTGGGGATGCACCGATTCCTAAGTGCAGGAGGGCCAGGAAGACCAGTGACTGTTCCTTTAGGCCTTAGGTGACTACAGAAGTAGCAGTGCAAGAGACCCCTCCAGCCACACCCTGCTTCCCCAAGGAGCTCATCCTGTAAATCACGGAACCTTTAAGTCGACTTAAAGGGAAACTGAGGACAGCGAGGTTAAGTGGCTTGACCATAGGCATATGGTGATTAATGCTTGTGCCCTAAGCATATGTTTTTACCACCCGATCAGAACTGTCACAGCTATACTCAGGTCTTTCTAATCCTTTCTTTCCCACTGAGAAGGGTAGTGGGGGCTACAAGGAGAGGGTGTGGAGGCTGGAAAAAATAGCCTCACTCCTGCCCTCTCTGGTCCACAGGAAACAAGATGAAGTTCCTCCATAAGAAGAATTAAACCCCTTTTCCAGTAGTGCGGAGTCCAGTGCCTTGCAGAGCCTGGAGCCTGGGGAGAGGGTCCAGCCTGTCCCTACAGACCCCACCTCCAAGCCAGCCCACCTCTGCCTTCACCATATCCCAGGATACTGTTTGTAAATAATCTGCTGTAAGCTTTCTTAACTGTTTTTGTAACGAGCGAAAGAATCTGGTAAATATTTGTATATTCCCCAAGGGCCGGGTGCTTTCCTGCCCTGCCTGAGCACGGATGGAGTTTCGCTGGGTGCTGGTGACTGGCCAATTATGTGCAGCTGACTGTCTCAGCCAAACCACTGATCTTCCCTGGAGGCTTTGGCCTGCCTGCCTGCGGCCCCTGCTGCCAGTCTCGGGCCCTGGAGAGCAGGTGCTGTCTTGTTATGTACAGGAGGACTATTTTTTAAAAAGAAAAATCTTAAAGAGTTTATTTTTTCCTAGTAGTCCCCACACCTTACGCCTCTTGTTTTGAAGGACAGAGGCCACCCAGTCCCCTTTGCAGCACGGATCCAGGCTCCTGGGCCTGGGCCTCCTTGTTCCCCCACCCTCTGAGATGGTCAGTGAGTCGTGGGAAGCCCACCCCCCAGCTCTGCCTGTGCTCCCCGGGCCTGGCTCCCAGTCAGTGGCGGGGGCCATGATGCGGTACAGGGCATCCCCTGCTTCTCACCGTCCACTGGTGTTCTCAATAAACAGTGTACAGTCATATGGGCCCAAGAGCCCCGCATTCCTTGCCTTCATTATCTTGAGTTCTCTGTCCTGCAAATGGGCTGAGACACCATCCCTGGAGTTTGATATAGGGGTCAGCTTCAGTGTGGGTCACAGCTCCCTCCAAAATTGAGTTCTCTGTCCTGAGTTGCGTGACAGGTCTTGAAGATACACACCCATCGCTTTCTTTCAGTTTCCCTCTCCAGTAGCCAACTGTTCCTGTCCCCAGTGGAGGAAAGACTGCTCTTTGTCTTCTGGCTGTGTCATTAGGAGGATCTTAACATTTTCCTACTCAGTCTCAAGGTCTTAAGATATCATTGGGTTTCCTGACACTGGTGGGCTGAAGCCCAGCTGATGCCAACCCTCAGCTTGCTCCTGTCCCTAATCCAATGACTCTTCTATGTCACTGTGAAGTTCCTCCAGTGGAACCCAAGGTTTGCATTCAGACACACATGCATTCAATAAAAACATGAGGAAAGAAGGTCATCTTTAGGCTTTTTATGTGTCAAGGCCTTGGTAGAGCAGAGATCTTGAAAACTACCAAGATGAGGAGTTAAACTGGAATTCTCTTCATGAGTACTGGGGTTGTGTCTAGCAGGATAGGAAGTTTCCTCTCCTTTTACTGTCGCTGGCTTAGATGAGTACGTTCTAAGTGTTCTCCCCTCCTTTACCTCATCTCCATCAAGCTAAGGCCTCATAGGCCCCAGGCTGTCCACGGTTAGGGGCTGCTATCTGCCTCATCAAGCAGAGTGCGCCCCTGTGAGGAACACAAACTGTACCTCTCTGAGAAAGCCTTCTGCGTAATTGGCATCAGAATAGCAGGACAGGGATGAAGCTAGGTTTTCAGTTCAAGTATGAGAAAAGACAAAGATTATAGCGAGAACATTCAGCAACCATGACCAAAACTTGTCAGTGATTTTTTAATGTTTTAAACCAGTACTGGGGATTGAACTCAGGGGCTTCACACTGAGCTACATTGCCAAACTTCTGTTGTTGTTGAGACAGGCTCTCTGACTTAAGTTGCTGAATTGTTTAAGCTAGGCTCAAACTTACAGTCCAGCCCCCTCACCTCATCCCCAGTGCTAGGCTTATAGGCCTGTACCATTAGGCCCTGCCCAGATCTGTTACCTCAGTATGGCTTCGTGACAGAGAGGTGGATTCCCAAAAGGTCATCCCACCCAGTCACCCCTTATTTTGTACCAAGTTATCTTTCCTGTCCCTTTTAAAAAATTTTGAGACAAGGTTTTTGCCAATTCACCAAGTTGCCCAGGCTGGGCCAAACTTGCAATCCTCCTGCCTCAGCCTTCCACAGTGGTGGGATTGCAGGCAAAGCCCCACTATTCCTGACATCCCCCTTTCAAATGTGATCTGAAGACCCTTCAGGCATGTGATCAGATCACAGGATACAGGTATACATTTTTTGGTAAGTTGTTAAAACTGTATCTTTAAGCTACAGTGCTGCATCTTAATCCTGGAGAGGTACTTTTCCTTCCTCCTCCTATAGCTGCAGCTCTCACTTCAGGCCAGTACTGGCACAGTGGCTTAGAATGGGATGCAAAGACACATACAGTGATAGCCAAGGGGAAGACACAGAAGCTTTATGGATGACGGGAGGGGATGAGTCCAGTGGGTCTACGTTGGGATTAACAACCGTTTAAGATTTCTTTCCAAATTCTGCTTTCAAATGATCTCTGACCCCTAAACCAAGAGTTCTTAATCCTATTTATTTACTACAGCATCTTGCTATGCAGTTCAGACTCATAGTGATCCTCCTGTCTCAGCCTCCCCCATGCTGAGATTACAGGTGGGTGCCACCACACCCAGTTTGGGGTCCAGCACAGCATGTCTGGGGTTCCAGGGTCAGCACAGCATGCAGTACCAGGGATTAAACTCAGGTTCTGTGCTTGCCAGGCAGGTGCTTAGACCACTGAGCTATCTCCCCAACCCCACCAATTTTTTTTTTTAAATAAGTAATACAACTCCTTTACTATCCTCAAGTAAAACTAAGATAATACAACCTATTTAAACATATAATTATAAAATAGAAATAAAATATTTCGTTATAAAAGTGTTTATAAATGTTTTCCAGAACATTTCCAGGCACGTACAATATTTTCCTTTGTTAATCCATGGTGCCATTGAACACAGTGGGTGTTCTTTTGCTAGCAATTCAGATCCTGAGTAGTTCTCATTTGCTAACAGTTCTCTGAGACAAGCAATTGTTAGTAATGTTCCGAACAAAAGCAAAATATGAGATTCTCCTGATTAGTAGTTGAAATCTGAGAAAACTAAGACATACATGAAAACCCTGTCAGGGTTCTGATAACTTTTAATCTGTAGAAGGGATTCTAACTTTCATTTTGTTTGTTGTGCAGTACCAACTAATCCACATATATGGTGGGATATTCAGCACACCTTGTTTCATCCCCTCCCTGATTTTGTGACAAAAGTCAGTGCCTAAGTGAATCCTTAAGACCTCCTAGCAGACTGGTATTGCCGTCATTCAGAACAAGAGTACCCCAGCAGTGCCTTCAGACAACTGAGGCAGCTGCACAAGGACAATCCCAATCTCCTCTCAGGGGAGCGTCCTGTCCAGTAGTGTTGGCTTTTCTGTCAGGAGGTTAAGGTTATGTCCTGTAATCCGTCACACAATTTGGTGCAGAGCAGGCTTTCCCAATACAACACTTTAAATGTGCTTTATTGTGCTCTGGTAAGCTGTAGCCTCAAAATACTGCAGGGATATGGTTTTTTAAAAGCAATGTTTGGCGACTGGTGATGTACGGCCCCTGCCTAGCTGGGCAGCTCAATCTTCAACACTCTTCCTTTCCAGAAAGGCAATGTTTTGAAGCAGTATCCTTGTAAAGGCGTATTATTCAACATCTAATCTACCTTGTACCTCAAATGAGTTAGAGGGGCACACCAACAGTCTTTAGGAATTTAAGGAACAAATAATATATATTGGGATGTATACTACAGGCAGGGACTGGACAGACACCTTAAAACACATCTTTTCTAAGAGTGAGAAAAAAATTATTGTTGAGAGCCACACGAGGTACTAGCACGCATTCCAAAACATGTTTTTCCTGTGGAGGTAGCATAATTTAAAAGATCACGAAATCTTTTAAACCAGACAAAATACACTTAGTTTCCAGTGGCTTTTGAACATCGCTTGGCCACTTATATTGCCTTTTAATATGAAATACGCATCAGATTTTAAAAAATGCTACCAAAACAGAGCAGCAACCTCACATCCTAAAGCACCAAAGAGCGAATTTGTTCCGCTTTTCCCAGAACATTTCCAAGCATGTACATTTTTTTAGCTTAAGATATCCTAGAACATAGTAGGTTCTCATCACGTTACACAATCAAAAGGCGCAAAGATTTTGAAATCCTATGACAGCGCACGCCTGTTCTTGAGAGTGCCCAGAATTTAAATCATCTCGGGACCAAACTTCCCGCCTTGCGAGGAAGAAAAACGCGCTTGCGTAATGCAAGCCTGCTCGGCCCTCACAGGAAGTGACGAGCGAGCCGGGAAAGGTAGGCACTTCCGGCAAGAGGGGGATGAGGCGTGGCTAGGACGCTCCGGGATCCAGAACTTCCTGCAGCACGGAAGTGGCTCTCGCGGCAAAAGACGGGACCTGCCGGAGACAGAGAAGTTCCAGCCTGCAGTCCTCTCTGCCTTATAGCACAGGAGCCCGCCATCCTCCCGCCGCCCGTGGAGCTTCTTTCCATCTGGTTCTGCTCCCAGAGGCCCATTGCTCCTGGGCTGAAGGAGGAGTTAACTTTTCTTTGAATTGAAAACTTAAACCCGACCAGTTTAATTTAAATGGACGCTCTTGGGAATTATTGGTAGGCACTTCCAGTGGATCCTAAATTACACCGGAAGCCCAGGATTTGCATGCAAATCTACTTAAAACATACACATTAGGTCAGGAATCATGTGCTTTAGGATTTTTAGTAAAACAAAGTCAACTTATGTGCTTAGTGTCATCTTCATAAATTTAATGTATTTGGTTGTTACAGAATTTTATGTCGCAGCTTGGACCATTTTTCAGCCTTCTAAGTGCTGATTACAGGCGTGCGCCATGCCGACTTGGTGGGTCTGGAACCCTGGTCCCTGTGCTTGCCTAAACCAGCCCTATCTTGCTTCCCTCGCAATTGTTTTTTAAAGGTGTATGTACAAAAGCTGGAAGCCCCTCTGCTGCAGGTCTCCCTCCACTTGGGAGGGCCTAACTTTTGAGTCAGGGCACTGAAGATACTGCAGTGAGCCAAAAAATGCCAGTGAATGTGGATTCAGTGCATCACAAAGTAAAGGGAGAGCTGGAGGTGCTGAGGCCTACAGCAGCAC